TGATGGGTGCTGAGCTTAGCCATATCAACACCCTCTCCCTATTATTTCTTGTTCAATGGACATCTTAATATTGAAAAACATTTTTTTGGCTCAATGAAGAATAAGAACCCATGAAATCCTCTTGGTCTTGATTGGTTACATTTGTCATTTAGCATTTACAATCCCATGTCTATCCCACCTAATTTATGGGCAAAGGACAGTTGCCTAACCTAAGAAATCCTGAGTAATAAAACTAACCCGAAGGTTATATAAATAATTCACTGCCTCTGGTTTTTACACTTGCACACATACTGAAAAGTCATTTTGTGAATTTAGGATGCATGAAAATGAACTAGCAAAGAACTGAAAAGTATCTACTAGAAGTTAAAGATCATGCAAACAGAGGACCACACCTTACACTGCCCTTGTCGTTCTCTTGGTTTTATTTTATTTTACTTTATTTTGGCCAGTGTTTATTTTTCTCTTTTTTCTTTCCTTTTATTTATTTTTCATATTTTTGGGCCTTATGCTTCTGGCACATCTCTGAATGCCTAGAAGAATAGTTTTGAAGTCCTGGCAAGTTTGCTATGCTTTGTGGATTGACAAACTTGTACTGTTTTGACACAGATGTAGGTTGTTGTAAATTGAAACTCCTGAAAATCTAGACATGGGGATACATCTGTTTATTTGTATGTGTGTTTGTGTATGCATGCATGTGTGTGTGTTGGACCAGTACAACAATTCATTTCGTCATGCAAAAGAAATGTAGAGAGCATGAACAATGATGAATACAAATACTTCATTATAATTTTGTCAACGAAGAGAACACAACAATCACTACTACATGTTTTTCCATGTTAGTAAAGTGGGACTCTTTCCTAAATGCCCAAATGATCATTGAACATGAGTAGACACAATGTTTTAAAAGGCGCGCACTTAGGCGTGAGGTGCCTCGGACATGCGTCTCACGCTTAGGCTCCAGGAGACCTTAATTGGCTAGGTGGACCTCTTTTTAAAGCCATTTCTTTGCGTATATATGCACACTATAAAATTATAGCAGAACACGAGATGGTCACAGTTTCTGGAGTACTCTAGTTCTTCCATCTATATAATCAAATCATTCTTACTGAACACGTCGTATATACGCACTTAACAAACACCCCCCTTCCATCCAGTTTACCTTGAATTTTCATTTTGGTCGATCGCCTAAGAAATTTTCTACTGACAATGTCTAATTTTTAATTCAATGACAGTTATGGCTTGCACTTTGTGTTGCCACCAATAGTGGTGCTTGGCTTCGCACAGACGTGCTTGTAACAAACATGAGAAACTTTCCTGTCAGTCGGGGCACTGTCGCTGGTATATTCTCAAAGGTTATGTGGGGCTGAGTGCTGCAGTGTACACGGAAATTTTCGGCATCTTGCTTCACAATTCCTCTGCCAAGCTCTTGCTCTTTCTCACTTTAGGGATCCCAACTTTATGTATTGTAATGATGTATGCTGTTAAACCTTGTACCCCCGCTTCCGGGGAAGACTCTGCTGAGCGTGGCCATTTTCTTTTCATCCAAGTGGCCAGTGTTTTGCTTGGCTTATATCTTCTCACTACCACAGTATTGAGTCATTTTATTCCTTTGAGTGATACTGTTTCCTATACTTAAATTGTCATAATGATTCTACTTCTCATGGCTCCACTTGCTATCCCTGCAAAGATGACATTATATCCCTCAAATCGGAGTAAGTTAGGAACACTTGGTCGACCAGTAGGGTCTTCAGACCAACTTATTCAAGCAGAAGGTGATATGGGCAAATCGGAACCGTTGCTCACCCCATCTACATCAACAACAAATATTGGAAGTTTTCATGAGAGCGATAGTGTTTCGAAGGTGGATATGCTTCTAGCTGAGGGAGAGGGCGCAGTGAAGAAGAGACGGCCCAAAAGAGGGGAAGATTTCACTTTCCGTGAAGCTATAGTGAAGGCTTATTTCTGGCTTCTGTTCTTTGTTTATTTCGCCCGTGTTGGTTCGGGTGTTACTGTTCTCAACAACTTGGCTCAGATAGGAATAGCTCAAGGTGCAGAAGATACAACCGTCCTGTTATCTCTATTCAGCCTTTTTAATTTTGTGGGTCGGCTCGGTGGCGGTGTTGTCTCCGAACATTTTGTCAGGCGAGATACCCATTATTCCTTGTTGATTAATTCCTATTTAATACAATCTCTTGGTAATTCCTATTTATTCCTTGTTGGTTTTTCCTTATTTTACAGGTCAAAAACAATCCCTAGGACAATTTGGATGACATTCACACAAACCATAATGATCATTACATACCTTTTCTTTGCTTCTGCTCTTGATGGTATACTCTATGTCGCAACAGCAGTACTTGGAATCTGCTACGGCTTTCAGTTTTCCATAATGGTCCCAACCGCCTCCTAGCTTTTCGGATTAAAGCATTTTGGGATAATCTTCAATTTCATGTCGCTCGGGAATCCTCTCGGTGCTCTCCTTTTCTCTGGTGTCCTTCCGGCTTACGAGATGCTTTATGAGATGCTTTATGCTGGGGGATCCTTCAGGCTGGCTCAGAGTTCAAATCATTGATGAGGGAAAAATAAAGTGTGAGAATGTAGGATATATATATATATATTTTTTTTTTGAAAATGCAATTAAATGGACTGCTTTTTTCTCTTTTTTTTTGCGTGTGTGTGTTGCTTCTTGAGCCTTGATATGTTGGTTCTTGAACTTCCATCTGATCATTGCACATGAAGTTTATAATTTGTGCAATATGATCCTTCTTTTTAATGTTGAAAGGAAGTTTTAGTAACATATTTATGTCAGATTTGAACAATCTAGCATTTGATATTATTCAACACTAGAAGTGGTGCCACACATATTGGGTGTGAAATCATCAGTTTCATTCCAATTCTTCTACTCATTGATTTTTGAAAATCCTAAGTGATTCGTGATTAGATCAGAATTAAAATATTTTAATTCCCAAATATTTAAAATATACAATCTAAATCATCAAGCACTTACGAAAGTGATTTAGATTGTTGTTTTCGGAATAAACAATAAATCGACACAAATGATTTTTACGTGAAAAAATCACAATTGAAGAACCTTCAATTGTAATAAAAAACCACGGGCGAAACGTCACTAATCAATCCACTACTGAAGAAAGAAAGATTATAAAGATAACACACAAATTACCCAACTCAGTTAATTTGCCTTCAAACCTTCTGTAACTCTTTCACCAAGCCTTCGTCTCGGAACTGATCAGCCTAAAGTTGAATCCACAACTTCACTTGTCGAATCAACGACTACGTACAGAATCAAACACCTTTGAAACTCTAAGTTTGAATCTTCAGAATCCACCGAAGAATAACACTCTTGTATGTATTCGATTAACCTCCTTGATATGTGCTTCTCAATTCATGAGTTTAATACTCATTCAATTTTATCAAGGAAAACTCAAAAAACTCTCTAGAAGAAAACCTTAGAAAACCTCAAAGTAGATATGAAAAAAGTAATCCTAATTTTGGAGTAAAACAACTACTTATAGAAATCCTAGATTTTGAAGCTCGCTCGAGCGAAGTTTCTCTCACTCGAGCGAGAACCTTAACTCGCGTGATTTCCATAAGTGCCTTCGCTCAAGCCACGAAACCTTCGCTCGAGCGAACAATAAACTCTTTCAGGTTTTTATGCAGATGCAGTCCTTCGCTCGAGCCATACATGCTTTGCTCGAGCACACATTCATCTCTTTCAAGTTTTAAGTCAGACGCAGTTTTCGCTCGAGCGAGTACTTCTTCGCTCGAGCTACTTGCTCGAGCGAGCAAGACAAAAACAGTAAGGAAATTACAACTCAATGACTTAAATTTTGTTCGTGGATTTGACAAGACTAAGGGACCTGACAATCTCCTCCTTTGTCAATTCCCGGACAAAACTTTCTAATACAATTTCCTAAACAAACGTGCTATCTAAACACCACATAATTCAGACGCAACACGATCAAAATCAACACTGGACCGAGTAAGAAATGGAAAATGAAAATTACCAACTTCAGGAAGATCAAGAAAAACCCAAAAAACATTACCAGTGATAACTAGAGATTTCTTCCTAACCCAAGTGGTAAAGGAGGCTGAAATTTCTTTTTGAATGGAATGGATGTTGCAATAAAATTTCCGGATAAGACGCAAATTTTGTGGCCCTGAAAAATGCAACACTTGATCACCGTCCAATGAATCAAATAAGGACTGAATGGTAAGAATCTCAAAAGCACTAGGAAGGACATTTCTTTCTAAATTGACTTTCTAAGTGGCAAACGACTCCCTAAACAACTTAGACTTTTCTTTAGACTCGAATTTGTCAGTGTTGAAAGAAGGACGGGAAACAGTGGTTTTACGACGCTTGGATGATTCATCCATGACTAGACAACCCAATAACAATAACAGAAAAACCCCAAAAACAAATAGAAGTAGTCAACAAAACACATTAGTTCAGCATGGTTAGAGAAATAAGCATAAACCTGTAGCAAAATCTAAATGTTAAGAACAACAGACTAATCATGAGTATCCCAGACGCAGATAAAGCACCAAAAGAATAAGCAGAAAAACAGAAAATCAAAGGACGAAACCACAAATTAAACACTAAAAAAATAGAACTTTAAGTAAACAAATTAAAACAACCCGCAGAAATGAAAAACCCTAAATGTTAAACCCTAGCAAAAGAACCTAGCACAATGCTCCAACTTACTAACCCTAGAGACAAAAAAGAGACACAAAAATAGTATGAAATAATCAAAAGCAACAAGAATGAACCCTAGATGATAACAGAGCATAGTCACAGTCAAATTGCAAACGAAGAAGTAAAAAACAAATAGAAAAGAAAAGCTTACCAACTTCGGAGAATGCAGATGAAGGAAAGGAAAAAATGCCCCAAAACCAAGAGAGAAACAACTTGAAGATAGCAGCAATGAAGACCACGAAAACCCTAGGGGAGAGAGAAGGGAAACACAAAGAGGGGGAAAAAAATGAACTGAAGAGACACAGTTTCAGAATTTGAACCTCGACATGTCGCTCGAGCGAAGACTTTCTTGCTCAAGCGAGGTCAAAAATGCGCAAGAGTTCGCTCGAGCCAAGAACTTGTCGCTCGAGCCAAAAGCGCACGCTCTCAGGTCTAATGTAGGAGCAGAAGCACGCTCGAGCGAGTACTTCGTCGCTCGAGCAAAGAAGAGAAAAAAAAACAAAACCAAAAAAACCTTTTTTTTTTAAAAACAAAAAACAAGATACTCAATATCATGAAATGAGACCTGGAACACAAGTAGATGATCACATTTGGCCAAAATTGATACTAAGATGAAATAATCCGCACAACATGAATCCTGTAAACTTGCAATTTAAAAAAAAATGACACTGGAAATCATGAGCAAAGCAGATAAAATATAATCAGTGATCATAAGCTACATGAGAATGTACAACTCAAAATCCAACATGAGATCTCACAAAATAAAGTGTGTGTGTGCAATCCATGAGAGTCCACTAAGCTAGAGTTAATCCTCGTAGTGATCGGATGGCTGGACCTTCAGCAAGAGTAACTGAACATCACAGAGAAAAGTCAAACCACTAGGAATCACGGGGTATTTGTTGAGTAAATGCGGAGGCTCCCCCTCAATCAATTAGTCCTTTTTTTTATTTTGTTTTCAGACTTTTTCTTTCTTGTGGGCACTCACTGGAGGCATTCACGCTCAAGAGTATGGAAACCAAACCAGAGAAGAATGAAATCAAAAAAGATAGCCTGGTTGGTGCCTTTGAGGTAGCCTTTTCCTAATGCCCGGACTTCAAGGAACTGAGGGAGAAACTGTGGAAGTGAAAAATGATGGTAGATGGTGAAGAGACTCAACATCACCCATGATATACTAGTATCGGTCAATTCCACTGTAAAAGTACAAGAAACACTGTTAGTGGTCCATAGAGAACTTTGATCACTTGTGCGGAAATCCCTGCAACAATTTATCTCAAGGATGTGTACAGAATGAAATCATGAAGTTAATGAGCATGGGCATTCAAAATGAGCTATGAACAAAGAATAATGAGATCTTGTAAGTAGCATGAATAGTGTATAAAGATGGATGCAAGACAAACAGTGATCATTGACAAAGAGATTATAGCACCCAAGCACACATAAAGCCAAACATTCACACCTACTCAAGGAACAAGTAACACTCTAGTGATCGAGCATGACTCCCAAGGTCTTTCTAAGGAACTCAAACCAAAGAAGATCAAGGGATTTTGTAAAAATATCAGCTTTTTGATACTCAGTGGGAACATGCTCAAGAATAACAAGGCCCTCTTCCACTAACTCTCGAATAAAATGATGACGAATGTCCATATGTTTAGTGCGAGAGTGTTGGACAGGATTTTTTGAAATGTTTATGGCACTTTTGTCACAGAAAAGTGTGAGTGTTCTGTTCTATCCCATAATCATGAAGCATTTGCTTCATCCATAGCATTTGTGCACAACAACTCCCTGCAGCTATGTACTCAGCCTCGGCAGTCGAAAGAGAGATAGCATTTTTCTTTTTACTATGCCAGGAAACTAGATTATTGTAGACACCCCATTTTTGACCGTCCTCAAGACTTGGACGTCACCGTTTGAACACTCGGTGATCATCCATGATCATGTTCGTTTGGAGTTCCCGGAGGCCTCGGCTCGCGCGCCTTGCCTCAGGATCCCCGAACTCGGCTGTTTAGTGTCTGGTTTTGCACCAAACACTTTTGTTTTGCCTTAGAGGGGCAGGGAATGCCTTGTGAGACATCCCCATACACCACCGGCAGTGGCTGGAGGCCACCGGCTGGTCTTTTTCTTCCATCGGCAATTTTGTTTGCCGGTCGGCACACTGTATTGCCGGTCGGCATAATATGTTGCCGGTCGGCACTGTTTTTTGCCGGAATAGCTTTTTTGGGCAGCCGACCACTGTTCCTCCACTTTTTGGAGATATTTTGTGCCAGCTGTGATAGCTGGCACCAACTCCTTTCCCCTCCATACACGTGTATGGAGGGATTTCCCTCTAGCCAAGCTTGTTGAATAAGCTTTGCAAGAGGGATCCTTATAAGAGAGAGGCTTTCCTCTTGGTTCTAGGTTAGAAAAACAGAAGCAAAAACCAGCCCGACCCTTTGTGAACTTCCACCACTGACCCGCATCCCTTGATTTATATTCCCCAAACTTGCAATAGTTTTTTACCTATCTAGCTTGCTGTTTTAGCTCTTGTGTATAACATAAAAAGGGCTTGTATTTTCCTGCTTTAGCACTTTCATTAAGGTCATTTTGTGGTTTGAGTGCAAACTCCCCCTTCTAAGCCTTGTTTGATCCATTTTGGTGCCTCTTTCATAAGGTTTTGTCCACTTCAGTGTTTTGGTCCTTTGACCACTGAAAATCAGTGTATTTTAGCGTCAAAAAAGAGATGGTTTGAAGTCTTGCATAGGGGAGAGACACCCCTCTCCCTTCATGGTTTGTTTCCATGCTTTTTGGGCCCAAAAGGGTAGC